GTTTTTCTGATATGGTTACACTGTTTAGCCAACGGGAAGATGGCCGCCACGTTTTTGAGTATTGGGTATCTTTACCACAGAATAACCAGAATGGACYCTCGCTGAGCACTCAAAAATCGGGAACATACTATTCAATTTGGTGGAATATCAGTGTATCCATATATATTGTAATTTACGACTAAAGGTAAWTGCCTCTGTTCGGGGAATAACAGCCGCGCTAGAAACAAAGAATAATGAGAATTATCTTTCTACCGGCAGCACTGATATTCCACCAGGCGTTGCAAATTTGTACCCCATTAGAACCCATGTTAAACTGAAAAAGTGTCTCTTCTGGTTATTCTGTGTCTTTACCGTGTTAATTTTTATCAGTGTCCAGGCCCTGRTGATACTATGTGTGTACTTGAAATTTGAAATTGTGGTTTTTCTAATGCTCTTAGTGTGCACGAAAATTGCTTATTTCGTTCCCTGATATAYGCATTATTTGGTACTTCAAAATGTACGAATAAGAGTAGATAACTCGATATTACTGATTTGGTAATTGTAAGAATTACGAGTATTTAGTGAGCACAGTTAGTATATATTGTCTACATAGTGACTAAATTGTACGTAAATCGATTTTCACTTGAGGTGGCTGTCTTACTAAGCAGGTTTTCAATTTTACACTTTTTACACATAAAAAAAGCATCTGACATCTAACGGCACAAAAAGTATTCAATCTGCCGTAGGAATATTGCGAAAAAATGTAAAGATAATTATTTTTCTGTGTAACACCGAGGTAGTTGAGACCGATAGTTTTGCGTATTATATAAATCAATAATGTTAGATTGAAAGAAAAGTATCGATACTTTTACTTAGTATCGAATCGAATGAAAGTATCGGCACCAACCAAATATCGAAAGGAAGTAGGATAGGAAGTATCGATATTTATTCATATCATTATTACCAAACGCATATCATCACAGTCCACATAGGAACTCCATAAATAAATCATTTTCTTATCCAGTTTATCTTTTTTTATATAATTAAAACGGTTTCATTWATTTATTTAAGAACCGGGGATCATATACTACTAAAACACAAGGGATTTATTGTAAGGCKTTTCAATATTACTTAATAGGTGACTTGCGAGGTTTATAACAAGTGATGACAAAATAAAATTTGATTAGATTCGAGTACATTTCTTTCGATCCAAYTAAAGTATCGAAACATTGTATCGATATCAAAAAGTACTCGTATTGAAAGAAAGTATCGATACTGTGCTCATATCGATAGTATCACCACATTCTTATATTATGYAGGTATAACTTCAATAATAGTTGTATTACAATCAATAATATTACTTTTTCTTCATTGTTTTCCATAAATAAGTTTATAATCAGCCCTATAATAATAATTACCAATAGTACCCAAACATAACTCTTAGATCATATACAATGGATCTAGGGCTACTTAAGCTACTTTAATCAATTGCTGTGTTCAACATAACCCCTCTTTTATTAGTAATTTTAAAGTGATTGTTGTGGTGAAACGCATGCGCAATAACACGTCTTTCCCTTGAAATGAAATGGGTGGAGCTTGCCTACCTCGATGGCGAGCGGATTATGTGGGGCATAGCTCGGAATACGAGCAGTACCCACGTAGCTTCATCCATTGTGTTAAATCTAAGGGTTCACCGGACGGAGGGGACCGTGCCAACCAATCCAAGTGCTGTGCAATGTCAAAATATAAGGGTGAATAATGAATAGGTTTATTATCATTGGTCATACTGTTCGAGTAACAGTTATTCCCTATGACCCAAAAACCCTGGATGGTTCTGCAAGAAGGTATTGATTTTTATGCTACACTACAACGCCATATAATTTATTACCCACCAACAAGTGCTCACGAGTACACGTCATTGCGTCATTTGTTCGTGTCGCGTTAATATTATATATTTTGTCGTTTATTTCATAATTGTTTACATTTCAACTTTGATAATTCTCAGGCGTCGTTCTTGACAAGACGAGATATTGTGGGTCGCTGTTGAATATTTCGTTTGACATTTTTAATTCAATTCTGAAATTCCTGAATACAACTATAATACAAGATAACAGGTGATTAAAATATATATATATATTTAATTAAACTATTATGATAACTATTTTTTAATTCAATTTCACCTGTACTTAAAAAGTAAAGCAACATTTTAAAGTAATATAATGAAAATAGTTGTAATTATTAGGGTTTAGATTTTAATGTCCTAAATAATTTCAAAAAATGCCCTTAAAAAATTCAAAAAGACTTAAAAAGCTCAAAAATGCGTTATAGAAAAGTATTTAATTTATTATAGTTTAAAGATTGGAAAAAAATTTTAAATGATACTATACCGTAGTAATTTTTTTTTTTTAATTTTGTTTTTAATGTATGTACATGAAGTAATAAATTTAATAATACAACATTGGTATATAACGGTAATAATTATATCAGTTTATAATAAGATTGTCATTTACGATGTTATTGTCCTGCATTACTCGTATAATATTCGTACCATCATCAGTTTGTCGAAGGTCTGTTATCAATCGCATCAATTTTTGTTAATTTTATGAACAAATTGTAAAAAATGCTTTGAAAACTAAGAAAATGCACCATAATTTTCAAAAATGTATTTAATGTTAATTTTGTTAAAAAAAAAAAAATACTTTAAAATAATCAGTATCATACAAAACACATTGTATACTTATTACCTAAAAATGGACCAACGTTTCAAAACACCCGAAAAAAGATACCTTTGCATCAAAATTCTAGCCCAAATAATTATTATGACTTCGTTGATGATTTATGTCTGTAATTAAATGTTTCTGTTTTGCTATGATTTCAACAGGTATTCAAAATATATTTGTTTGCGATATAGTTTGATGGTTTGTGATTAACAAACCACACATAAATTACATGGTTTATTATATTTTATACCAACAACTGTATTATATTGCGGCGTATTTTGTCACATCGCTCTTATCCACCGACCACTACCCACTAACTCTAGCAGTACAATTTCCGCTCTAGCTGATTTCGCTAAATATCGATTTTAACCCTCGCCCCAGATCAAGTTTATTTTTGAAGGATTACAATAGTTTTTATCAATTTTAATACAAATGTGATTTTTAAACCGATCTATTTAAGTTAAGTTATTTTTCTCGTTAGGTTGTTGTACGATTTAAGATACATAGTATCAGGTTTACTCATTACTTAACTCGGCATTATTTTTGATGTCCATTGTTTATCTTCGATTACAGCCTGCAAAAGCGTAACCAGCGCCCAAGCGGAAATTAATGTAGTAAAGCACCATTTGCTTTCATGATTGATAATGGTTTTTTTATTCCGATATAATATTATGTACACTGAGAGCGCTAAGCTAATATTATATAATATTAAATCTATATTTGGTAAGAAAGGGAGTTTAACATTCCATGTTGAAAGGTTCCCTGTCGCCCATTCAGAATTCATTTAAAAAAGTTGATAGTTATGAGTGTTATGACTATTTAAATATAAAAATCATATTGGACAAAACACTCGATGAAGGTTGTCAAAATCGATTAAAGTTGGATTAAACTTACTTTTTTCGACATTGCACTAGGGAAGAAAAGACTAATGATCGAATTGCACTAAAGGGTTCTAAAAGT